TGTTAAATTTTTTTTCCCCATTTTTTTGCATTGTTGGTGCAAGACAAATAAAATCGAATAAAAATATTTTGTTATCCTGCAGTCGACAGAATATTTTGTCATCCAAATAGTTTAAAGAGTCAGAAAACACATTGTTAGAAGTGTTTTTAAAGTACTTTCTGGGTTTTTCGTTGCTTAAACACACACATTGTGTTTATTTTCTGGAAAAACTGGATGTGAACTGGAGCTAGACACGTTCAGGAGCAACTCTGAGGTGGGCAACAGAACAAACATGCCGACATGCTAACGGAGCAGCACACGGGAACAGCAGCATGCAAACGAAGAGGGAAAAAAACATAAAATCATCTGGAAGACACGCAGAGGGAAGCTGCAAACACATCCACACATGGGAAGCAGACGGAGGGACTCTGACGCTGCAGACAGACCGGAGCTACGTTCAGGATCAGCCTCACCTTGAGCCCTCAAGTCTCCCGTTTCTCTCAAACTCGGTTGAGACTCTGGGACACGAGAAGATCGGACAGGGATGGGGGGGAAAAAAGAAGAAGAAGAAGAAAAAAAAAAGATGTGGATTGTGCTCGACAGAAATCATTTCAGATCAAATCCAGTGAATCAAAAACAACAACAAAAAAAAAAGAGAGAGAGAGAGAATGTGTGACGACGACGACGAGCCACCAAAGAAATACAGACACATGGAAGACGCTGCTTCCATTCAGGAGTCATGAGCAGAGAAGTCAACAGATGGATGTCCAGACCTCCAACTGAAACCGACAACAGCACACAGAAAGAGAAGCAGCAAGTCGAACCCGAAGGAGGACGAGGAGAAGAAGAGGAGCTGCAGGAACCGAGGAGTCAACGGTGCAACTCAAAGACGCCTTAAAACCTACATCTGACCTGGAAACAGCCTCAGACCAGTTCTTTGATTCCATTTTTTTAGACGTTTGGATTAAAAATAAACATCAAGGCTTTATTATGTATGTGCATTTTATCTCAGGAAGTCGTCGTCTGACAAAAAATGTTAATTAGAAACACCTTGAACTGGTTTTTATGCTGAAAAACTAGAAGTTAGATATGAAAACTAGAGTCTTTTATATAAAAGGCAAAACTAAATTCATATTTAATCCTTTAAACCCCCCAAACAAAGCAGGTTGTCTATAAAAAAAAAAAAGAAACGCAAACACTAGACCATGTATCAGAGCCAGAAAGTGTAAAAACGGAATAAAAAAATGATTTAATTATTTAAAACCAAATGTGAAACTGTAGATTTAAAGTGAGCATGTGTGACTTTATAGCTCAAATATGAATTTAAAACTTACATGTGACCTGGAAATAGCACGAAAACTGGATTATTTTATTCTCTTTTTGGAGGTTTGGAATAAAAATAACATCAAGACGTTAATATTTATAATAATATACATTTATATGTAAAAAAAAAACATAATTATTTGGTGAGGAAACTGCAAGATATACATGAAAACTAAAAAAAACCTCTAAAATGTTATTAAAGTCAGAACTAAATCCATATTTAACCCTCTGGAGTCCAAAACCCACCAGCAGGTTTAACAGGTCAATATGTTTAAAAAATCGTCGCAACACTCGTCAGATTTTAAACTTTTAGAGGAACTCATCTGGAAATAAAATGAAATCAAATCAAATCAAAGCCTAAGCTCCAGATATTTAGCAAAATTTCTTAATTCTACATGTTTTATTTAAATATTTGCCAAAAACAAACCGTTTGCTTCAACCAGAATCCATAAAAAGTGAAAAATTCTGCACTCCTCTGAGCAGCTGTGAAGGCATCAGAGACCCGGCTGTGACAAATAAATATTAAAGGGAACTGTCGGGTTGAACTGCAGGCAGTGTTTACACAGAGCAGACAGCTATGGAAACAAATTAAAAATGTAAAATAATAACTAAAATTAAAATATCACTGGTCTGTAGAGCAGAACGGCTGAAGGAAAACGTCTTGATTTCAGCTTTTTAAAATTATTTTGTAAAATAAATAATTAAATAATCCAACTTTTCTTTTTTCCTTTTTATGATTAATGGCATTTTAGATAAATTAAAAATAAATAATTAAATAATCCAACTTTTCTTTTTTCCTTTTTATGATTAATGGCATTTTAGATAAATTAAACAGCAGAAGACAGTCGTGAGCTCCAGTCATGGTTAAAAATGAGCCAGAGTGAGAATAAAAAGGCAACAGGAACTAAAAAAAAGAGAAAAAATGCTTTGAGTCCAGAGGGTTAAACACATCAAATGGAAAAACACTTCATTTCAATCAATTAGTTTGATATTTTTACAGGTGCAGCTCAGAAAAAATGTGAAAAATTCTCTTTTTTTTGGTAATTTAACTCAAAAACTTCCACATCCTCTGTGTTTACTACACACCAAGTGAAATATTTCAAACATCTTAAAATTTAATCTTGATCATTTGGGCTAAATATCCAGCTTCAGTGTCCATATTCTGCTTTATTTAGTCACATCTGTAGTTTGGCTGCCAGAATACAGTAAAACATGAAATAAAGTACCACTTTAAAGGCTTCATTATTGCTGTCACTGAGTCGTTTAACCAAAGATTTGGACTTGAATGTGATTATTTACTTTAATCATCAGCGTCTGTGGAAAAACGGCCGATTTATTAATAAATCTGAACACTGGCGGCTGTTGAAATGATTCATACGACTGAAACCGATGAAGGTGTGTGTGTTTGTGATTGACAGATGCTGGCGTAGGAGGAAACAACTCGTTTGACTCGACGCGGGTCTAAAACGAGCCCTAAGCTTCAAGCCGAACGTTCCCTCGACGGCAGTTTGACGAAACAGCAGCAGCTCTGCAGAACTCCATTCACTTTTTTTGCTGTTTTTCAAACGCGTCCGTCAGACCGGAGGAGCCGATCGCGGCTGAAACCTTTGAATGAATGTTTCAAAAGTGTAAAACAGAGATTGTTGTGGTGAGTTTCCTGCCAGCGAGGAGCCGAGTGGCGTCTTGTTTCTGTTTGACAGCGGATCTGGCAGCGCAACGCTACGTGGGATATTCTGGATGGAGTTTTGCAGAAGAAAGAAAAGAGAAGGACAGTTTGTTTGCTTCCCTCGTCTGTCTCCACTTCCTCCTTTATCTCTGTTTTTTACTGCAGGGACAGAAAATAATTTACATAATTTGCTTCACCAGCTGTTCCCTTCAATCTCGTCTGCAGCTCGTTCATTTTTTTTTTTTAACACAGGTGATGGATAATAACAAATAAAACACTAAATCTGAACTGACAGTGACTCAGTCACTATCCAAATAACCAACAGACTAGTTTATTTATAATATCCTGAACACTGAAAGTTGTAAGTACAGCTTTACCAACCGCAAAATAAAAATATCCCAACACCAGGTACTATATATATAGTATGTAGAGCCACTATTCAGCTTCCTAATGTTGTTAACGCCTGTTTTTTCCTTCAATTTTAATGAAATAAACAAGAGAACCTCAAATGTCCTTCTGTATTCTTTAAGGTTTTTGACATGATCACTATACTATTCTGCACTAAAGACATGTCTGAATTCTCTCTACGTAGTTGTGTCGTTTCCTCAGAGGTGTACGACTTCAGACTGCAGTGAAAAACGAACCCACAGCGAGGAAAAACTGATCCATGCTGTCAACATGTCCAGAATAACACAAGTAATTAATAAAGCTTCTGCCGTGTGAGACGCTCATGTGGATCCTGCAGAGGTATAAAAAAATAAAATCAGAGGAAATATTCCTCAGACAAACTAAACTTCAGCTCCTGTTTGAGTCTCTTTAGTCTTCGACGCAGGAAATGTGCATTTTTCAGACATGTTAGTTCATAGCAGATGTGATATTGTGACTTCTTTTGCTCTCTGAGGTGTTTTTACCTCCAACGCTGGTGCTGAAAAGTGGAACAATCCCTTCTGTTATTGTGACTGCATGCTGTTTAGACCTTGTGGTGCCTTGTTGGACGTTACAGTCGTCCTCAGGTGTATTCATACCTTCCCGTTAAAGAAGGAAACAAACAGCCGTCACTGGAATAAGTTGAAACTGACAAAAGTAATAACAAATAAAAATGTAATGAACATCACGACGTTGATTTTGAATTGTGGTTCAACAGAAATATTAACAATAAATAATAAAAACAAGCATGATGGGACCCGGGAACCAATACTTAGTTCAACAACCCATTGAGCCAATCACTGCCATCAGGTGTTTCCTGCAACTCTCAGTCAGACTTCTACACCTGTTGACAGGTGTTCTGGTTTCACTGCTCATCAGCAAAGGCCTCCAGTTAGTCCAGGATAGTTTTGTTTTTTAAAATGATTCTCTTCACCCATAATTCAAAAGCAACGTCTACTTTCACTAAATTATAATTTAGCAAATATTTATTTATTGTTACTTTTTTTCAGTTTCTAGTTATCCGAGTGACTGTTGTAAATTTTGCCTTTTCTTTAATGAATACATTAGAGGACGACTGTATGTGTAAATATGACTTTATGTGATCTGGTGAGGTGACTTCTACAGTGAAGCAAGCAGGAAGTTCATCAGACATGACACCAGGAGATGGTTTATCCTTAAAGCTAATTAATAAATAAGACTGTCAGAGGAGAGGTGTTGTCTTTGGAAAGGGGTTGGTAACAGCAGCATTAAACTGAGAAGCAAATCTAAAGCAAACTTTTAAAATAACAAAAGGAAAGTTTCCATTAACTGTCTGTGAAGATTCTCAGTCATCCAGGTCATGGTTGTTTTCATAGATTAATCGTAGCAACTAGACTTCTTGAGTTCCTTGAAGACGTTCCACCTCTCATCCAAGAGGCTTCATCAGCTCTGACTGACTAGTTGGGAGTTCCACATAGTGATATCCTTAAGGAGCCGTTAACACCTGAGTTTGGGTTTCAGATGGTTTGAGAGAGGAGTGAAAGAAGCCATCTGTGTCAAACTGGAAAGACCATCCCTCAACAGAGGTGGAGGTCTGAGGCATCACCTCTCAACTGTATACAATTCAGTCCTAAGATCTCTCCCCAGGAAGATGAAACCACATCCACACCTAGCCACTAAAGACCCTAACGAACCCCTTTGTGGCAGGGAGAGCACTAACGACTCACATAACGAGGGGGAGGAGCAACAAACCCCCAACTGAAACCCAAACTCAGGTGTTAATGGCTCCTTAAGGATGAAAGTATCTGGAACTCCCAACTAGTCAGTCAGAGCTGATGAAGCCTCTTGGATGAGAGGTGGAACGTCTTCAACATCCAGCTGCTACGATTAAACTAGAGAAAGTTTCCAGTAACCGTTTTGCAGATAAATTAAGCATCAGAAGGTTACATGGCTGCAATAAACAGGCAGAAACAAAACTAAAACCTGTCTGCAAACCACTAAAACGAACAAAACTTCATCCATCTATGAGCAAGAATTTGTGTCGCTCGTGTTTCACGCTGTTTGGAGACGAATGGAAACAGGTCACGTATGTTTGCTGCGCATCACAATTTAATCAGAAAAAGG